TTTTTATTTTTAAATTAAATTTTTTTTATATTATATATTCATGTATATACTTGTTGCATTGTTTTTGTTGTTTGAATTAAGAACTAATATAATAAATTTATTTTGATATTGAAAGCAATTCTTGTTTTAATTAATGTGAAATTGTTTTATAATTCAATGCTTCTAACTTTTATAATATTTTTTTCTTTTATTGTTAATTGTATCTTTGAATAGAAATTAAAAATTATTAATCGCATCTAAAAAACTAAACATAATAATGCAATTAGCAGATGCAAAAATGAAGTTAAAATATATAATAAAATCAAATGAATTATTTTTTTTTTTAAACAAATGTTATAATTATAACAAAATTGCGTTAAGATGGAATAAAGCTTTTTCGATTTAGTCTTGATATTGTGACAACAGAAAGCAGCTGTTGCGCCATTGACCGCACGTTCTAATGACATCTGCAGCTATTGCGATTCCGTGATCGCTGTGTATATGATGTACATTTTTGAGATTCTAAGGAGCGCCGGTTATTTGTCTAAATTTTTTTGTTTTGAACTCTTTGTATTTATTCGATATTAGAAGCGCATGCAATACTCCAGAGTTCTACGCCATAGATTAAATTATATACCTGGACTTTATTTTCCAGACTTAGGTTAAAATTTTTATAAATAAGTGAATGAAGATGCTGTGATTTAAATTTTTCTTGAATTTTTTTTTTTCATTGTTTTTACTTCAAGTCAGCCTTTTGTCAAGATGAATGCCAAGATATATTAGGTCATTCGCCTGGGGTCTACAGCTGTTCTTGCTTATTTTGTCGTTTGCAATTTTTCTATCACGTGCAGTGTTTAAGCTGCACTTTTAGCTTTCTTTTGCATCTCTTTATGCAGTCTTAAGGCTCAGCTAGTCGGTACGTACCGTAAGAATTCAAATCAATGCGAATTGCAAAACCTATCAAAAACACAAGTTTGGATGGTTGTGCATTTCGCTTTGAATTAATCTCTTACGTTACCTATCGTCTAACTGAGCCTTAACACCGCCTTAATATAAAGCAAAATTTTCGTTTCTTCTTAATTTCTTGCGTTACTTACTGTCTAACTCCATCTTCATTCGCTGTTTCTTTGGTTTATTATGATTCTCACAAACGTGCATTCAGTTGGTTGGTGGTTGTCAATATTTATTTTAAATATTATAATAAAAATATAATACATATACTGTTAAAAAATACTGTTAAAAAAAATAAATATAAATTATAAATAAATAAGGTAAGTGTATTATTTATTTTTTCCAATTATATATCTATATCACATTTCGATGTGATTGCAGATCACTTGGATGAACTGGAAGTGCATGCTGCAATTATTTTCTTGTGGGGTAGATTTTAGTAAGTATTTTATAATAAAAATGTTAAATATTTATTAAACAATTTTATGTCAAGTATTAAAGATACAATAAAGATTTAAAAATAAAAGATTTGTACTTGTAATATTTTTTTGCTTCTTTACTTTGTGTCGTACATTTTAGCTTATCTTTATGTAGAGGGAAATGTAGAGTAAATAATAATGTAACTGAGTGTTTTACAAAAAATTAATATTATTGCATTATGGAGAGAAGTTCTTCTCTGGTTGGGAATATTCGTTTTCGTACATAAAACCCACCGAAATCTATTGTGACTATTTATAGTAAGAAGAAGCATTCATTAGGAAACAATTTAAAAAAGCTACAACGAAGATTTATATATTAACGTTATTAATCGAATTGTGCAATAATTTACAAAACAAATAAAAGAAAAGGATATGTTATGTTTTATTCCTTGCCTAAGTTTTGGTGAGGAACTAAGAAGTGTGTGATGGCCCCATGGAATTTAAAAAAACTACATCATTTTTCAAAACAAAGATTTATATTGTATCGATATGCGACTTCTTTGGAAAAAATATATACCTACGCCGATGTCTTGAAGGAAGTGACTGCAATATTGGATATATTCAAAGAATTGGAAATTGCACCGCAGAGTGGTATTGCTTTGTTACTGCAGGAGCATACTCCGGCATCCTGTGCGTTGCTGCTGAGGTAATGTTATATATAAATTTTAAATTTGTTTTTTTCTCAACTTTGTATTTATAATTTAGTATATTAAATGCTGATTGCTACTTCTGTCCGTTAGAACTGAATACATCAGTGGAGTCATTGACAGCCAACTACCAAGCAAGTGGTGCAACTTATTTTATTGCGGATAACGACACGCACGAACAACTTCGATTATGTTTGCTGAAACAATTGAAATGTTTTGATTTGATTTTGTATATAAGTAAGAAAGTGTCTGTTGACGCAATACCAAGGACTCTAACAGAGTGGGACAAAATTTGTTATATTATTGGTACAACAGGCAGTACAGGTGCACCAAAAATGGTACATGTACCATATAGCTGCATTGCACCTAACCTAGCACTGAGGTAAGCTATGCTATGTCTGTTTATTTGTTTTTTAGCATTTAATTGTTTTAATATTCGCAGTAAACATTTACAATTGTCTGCGAAAGATATAATATTTTTGTGCTCACCATTTACATTTGACCCGTTCATAGTGGAATATTTATTGGCATTGGATAATGGCGCTGCAATAATAATTACAACGTCTAAAATACGTTTATCTCCACAGAAGCTTGTGAATATCTTATTTCCAAACAACTGCAACATGTGTGGAGTTACCACATTGCAGTTGACACCATCGTTGTTTCGTTTGTTTGGCGTGGATGCAATACGAGATATTATATTAAGTCCAAACACCAGTTTAAGGTTGGTATAGGGTTTAAGTGAATATTTTTGTCCACCAGTTTGGTATATGTTAGTTTTAAAGAAATTTAATTTTAGGTGGTGAACAATTTCCTAGCGTAGCCGAATTACAGAATTGGTTCTCAATAAATAAAAACCAACGCATACAAACGCGGCTTTTTAATATTTATGGTATAACAGAAGTTTCCTGCTGGAGCACGATTTATGCATGTGAATTAAATCGACTATATGAGAAACAAGATATTCCAATTGGTCAACCAATAGAGAATGAAACTTTATTGCGTATTGTAAATAATAATGATGAAGAGTTATTTGGTATTGAAGAAGGTGAACTACAAGTGGGTAGTAAGAGCAGAAAGTGCTACATACCACAATTAGACCAAGTAACTTCTGAAACACAATTAAACCTCACATCAAATGAGTTACTTTTTCGCAGCACAGGCGATTTGGTGCGGCGTGATGAAAATGGTGACATATACTATTTGGGCAGACTAAATAACACAATTAAGCGTTTTGGAAAACGTTTAAGTTTAGGTAACCAACTTAACATAAAGCATTTGATATGCTTAAATATAAATATTTAAATTGCAGATGTATTGTCTCACAAAATAGACGCCATACTACGCCCAACTTGCGTACAAAGTAAATGTATCTGGAATGCTAAATATACTAAACTTATTTGTTGTTTAAATAAACAAAAACGTTTCAATGAAAGTCAAAAAAGGATATGTAGGAGTCTACTTTTAAAAGAACTTCACTCTTATGAGAAACCAGACACTATTGTTTTTATGCGAAAGATGCCACTTAACAAACACGGTAAATTGAATCAAACTGAATTACTAAAATCAGTTGTTTCACGAGTGACTGAGTCAACATCCGGAAGCCACATGTCTATACAATCAACAAAAACTCGCTTCTCATCAGTAGATCTTTTGGGTTCACAACAACAACAAAAATCTATACTTACTTTAAAGGTAGATGCAAGAAAAAAACAACCAATTGATATATTCAAACATTTTTTGGTTGAAACACTGGGATTACAATTAACGGTCACTAAAAAAATTGTGACGAATTGTTTAGAAAATCCTAAAGGCACGGATTTATCATTTCTTGCTGCTGGTGGCAGTTCATTTAATGCGTTAAGCTTAGTTAATGAAATTGGCATGCTTCTCCCAACATCAGCTGTACAGTCTAACTTCCTAAATATGTTGCTAAATGAAAATATTGCAATTGCGGAACTGTTAACTTTTCTTAAGCAATATGAAAACATGTCTTCTGAGAGTAAGCATACAAAAGTCACATTAGATACACAATCATACCTGATGGGTAAGCGTAAACTGCTTCTAAATTGGCGTGCTGATTTAAAAAAATGTGTCGATGCTACACCCACAGTGGCAATGAATCGCTACATTTGCATTGGTTCGCATGCACACATAATGGTTACTTTAGATGCATACAGTGGGCAAGAAATTGCACGCGTTACACTTCCCGATCGTATAGAATGCGCTACCGAATTTATAGTACACCAAGCTGATGATGAACACTTGGCAGTAGTTGGCTGCTATGATGGGTTTTTGTATGTGTATGATTATTTATTGGGAAAAATCTGTTGGTCCATGAATATTGGTGGCCTGATCAAAGCTAAGCCATTACTTTTTAAAAATGTTGCCATTGTTGGAAGCTATTCTGTTGAATATAATTTAGCATGCATTTGTCTTAAGGTAAGGGTATTAGTTAATTATACATTAACTATATTACTTAAATATTATTTGTATAGTAGTGTTTTAAAGTGTTGGAGCATTCGAGTATCTTCGAATTTATTTATTTTTTATTTAAATATATATACCTTTACTAGCATAAGCCCGAACACAGTATGATGTTCGAACATTTTCGAGCGATTCGTTGTGCTAAAGCTAAATGTTAATGTATATTGGAACATTAAAATGCCTTAAACTTTGAATAGCTCGAATAATATTTGAAGCTCCAATATACAGCTTATGACTT